ATGGTTCCCGAAGGATACTAATGTCAGCTGTCACGGCAATCCCCTGCACATAAAGATAAATTTTCCCGTATGTGGAGATTTTCGCGTATTCTTCGTGAAAACATTCGTGTTCATGCACAGCTGCATTTTTCAAACGGCTTATCGTTGCGTGCAACAAGTTACTGAATTGTTGATAATGGGATTAGGAAACGATCCATGTTGAAACCGTACTTTGTAAACATCCGAATGCAAAAACGTGGCAAGATAGTTAATCCTTTGAAGTTATGTGAAAGGATCGATTTGAATTCATTTTGCAGTTAAATTGCAGCAAATTCTGTCAAAGACAGTTTGAGTTCGCTAAAGGTGTAACTAGTGAACCGTAAGAGTCAACGTTAATCATTGATAACGTCAAACTTAAGTAAATATTGGATCCATTGCAGCTCGTTGATTGCAAGTGTAATACTCGACGTTTTCCTAAATTCAAACTGAAATCAATTTGACATTAAGATTACTTACGGTTATAGGATTGTGCATTGGGCGATTCGATAAAATCGCTTCGAATGTTCAAGCGCAACTCTCATATTGACGACAGCTTGTAACCATTGAATGTATAGTTTGAAAAATATAGAAATCTGGATTTAAGGTAATCATCAACTTGTTAAATCTCCAGTTTTCATACAAATACATATTGAGAAAAATATGTTAATATTTTTTTCCGTTTGAGGCAAATCTTATGCGTTTATGGTACAATAATTTACTATTGAAAGCGTGGCAACCCAGGACCCAGTATGTTTTCTTTGGAGGCAATTAAAAAAACATTGTAAGGTTTAGCCATCATCTATGGTTACTGCATCACTTATTAAGAGGGTCTATTGTAATGCAAATTGACTTACACAATGTCATGCTTATAATGAAACGAAAAGTATATACATCCCAATGATCTACTTTTGTTGTAGCGAATCTATTCTGAAGTAATTTTATTTCTTTTCTACTGTGAAAGTAAGTTACACTACAATGGGTATATTATTAAGTTTGCAATATAAACGAAACATTTCAAAGCTTGTCCATGTTGTCATTTTTGTTTTCACTGGAGCGTAAGCTAAAGAAGTATTGTAATAGGGTCCATCCGGCGAAAGGCTGCTACCATGTTTTCTCGACGTTCATGATCCCTAGAGTGTGAAAAAGTTGGTCTCCCGTTTACATCTATTTGTCTGTGTCGATTTTTATTACGAGGATAATATTCGAAAGTACTGGATACTCCGTAGCGTTTCAATTTAAAAAATAACATACTCCTACACTTCTGGTTTATGAATGCACCTTGAATTTTGATCACATTTTCCAGAGAACTACACGCATATCCTTATTTTTCCATAGGGGTGTCATTAAAAAATTACGATTCGCAAAATCAAATTTTACAATGTTCCGAAAAAGTTATCTTGTACTAAGTTATGTCTAAATAACTTTCGACCAACTTTTTAAATATTAGCTTTCACGTATTTTTTTTGTAATTTGTAGTGGTTAAAGAGATCTTAATGAATTCAATTTTAAATTTATTTTGTTATACATATTTGGTGACTCAGATTTGTTTAAAGGACAATATTCTGTGTAGTAGTAACTATATACATCGATAGAAACCAAATTTAATAACATTTTGCTGTTATTATTGTAACTATTGCCTCTTAGATTTGATACACACAACTTATGATAGATTAGAGGCAATTATTGGCTAGACAATATCTACACAGATATGTGAGTTAGTAGTTAATTGTGTCATCAATATCAGATATAGAGGTATTGTTTCTGCTTTTTTTTTGCACCATCAGAAGTTAATAATTGTGATATGAAATAAAATGGGGAGATTATAACAAGACCGATTACTAATGGTGGATTATACACTATTTATATAGTGAAATGGAACACTTTGATTTGTACACAACTGAAATAAGTGATGACGAAAAAATCTCAATTTTTACTTTGTGAGCGCAAGCTAAACAAGTACATATTGTAATGAAAGGTCCCTCAAGGTTAATCTCATGTTTTCTGGACGTTTCATGTTTCCTAGACTACGAAGAAAAAGGTCTCCCGTTTCTGTCTGTCGTCTGTGTCATTTTTATTAGGCAGAAAATCAAAGTGTGTCTGATCATCCCCATCAACAATGGGTGACATCATGCCCAAATTTTACTCTATAGAAAATATAACGAGTCTGTACTTATAATAATTTTTTAATTTTAATTTGCTTATACAGGGTGACTGAAAAAAATAATTAATGCGTGAATTTATTTCATTGATTTAATCATGTACTGCAAAACCGAATGCGTTGAAATCTTGCAGATATTTTAAAGTTATCATAAGCATAGTAAATTTTTGACCAAAATGTATTTGTTTCCACCTAAAAAATTGATGACGTCACTTCAAAATATTGCTAAATAAATCCTATCTTAAATGTGCAAAACATGATAAGTCTACACTTGTGATTTATCACTGCATTAATATTTTTTTAGATTTGCTTATACAGGGAGTCTCAAAAAAATTAATGACTTGAGTCAATTTATTTTATTGATTAAATTAAGAATTACAAAACTCAATACTTTGAAATCTTGCAGACGTTTTAGAGTTATTGTAAGCGTAGTAGATTGTTAATCAAAATATATGTTTATTTCCCCCAAAAAATTGATGACGTTATCTCAAAATTTTGGCGAACAAATTCGACCCAAAATGTGATGAGTTTTTACTTATGCTTTATCATTGCATCGGTTTTTTTAGATTTGCTTAAACAGGTGGCTCAAAAAAATGAATGAATGAGTCGATTTATTTTATTGATTAAATCAGGAACTCCATTTTTCCCTGCATATTTTGCCAATGCAATACTGTTATTTTTTAATTTCCATTTTACACTAAACAAAATAAGTCAGAGAAATGGAGAAAGTAGGTGGGCGGGGCTAAATTTAGCTTCCAGTTTTATGAGGAAGCTGTAGCCCCGTCCACTCACCCCTTCTTCGTTCCAGTGACTAGTCTTAATATTGTTCAGTCTTAGCTTAGCAAGTTTTAGCCCCGCCCACCCACCCTCTATATTCTTAGAGGGTATGTCTTTTGCCACAATTAGTCTTATCTTAGCAATTCACCCCTCCCACCCGCCCTTTATTTTCTTATAGGGTATGTCATTTACCAAAATCAATCTTATCTTAGCAGATACTAGCTCCGTCCATACACGCTGTTCTCATTCTAACGATTTTATTTATCTTCAATTGAGATCTACCTTTCATTCGAAGTAGACAAAATGAATCACTGAAATGGAGGCGGGGTAGGTGGGCGGGGTGAATTATGTTCTTTTGTAAAGTGAGAATGGGAATTAATAAAATAGAACGTAGGCTGTTAAAAAAAGCCGTAATCGTATTTTTTTATACCACTTATTTGTTATAACATTTATTTCTTATTTCTGAAGAAAAAAAAATGAGAGAACGGGTGGGTGGGCGGGGCTAAGTTTAACTTTTTCATACAGAATCTTTTATAAGCAAGCAGTAGCCCCGCCCACCCGCCTTCTATTTTCTTAGCATTTGCCACAATCATTCTTATCTTAGCAAGTACTACACTGCTCCAATCCAAGTTCCAAGTAAAATAGATGGAGCATGGGAAAGTACTATTCTTCTGATATAGAATTAGATAGAGACAGCTTAATCGTTGGTTTTACTATTATTGACGATATAATAAAAGGTTCCCAAGGATCAGTCTTGGGGCTAGTATTCTTGTTAATAAATGTAAATGATGTTCATCAAGCTTTAAATGATAATGTGATTGTTTTTGCATAGTAACGAAACGAAAATGTTATGGACGTGAATATAATGGATAATTATCTCAAAGTGGAAATATAAACTTCTCTAATAAGCGTTGTAGACATAACAATAAAACTCAAGTTGTAAAATTTCCGCTTTGTAACATTAATGAAAACAGATCCAGTCAAAGTTTTAGGCGTGTATATGGATGCTAATATAATTAGAAAATCTCATATTACCTACTTATAGAAAATGTTCTAAAAACGGACTATAAGCTATACATATTGTATGAAAAGCGTTGGCAACGGTTCTTATTAAAGCACTATTTCCCATTGTTCTTGCCAATCGATTCTCAACTATTGATGTTTATCGGTTGGTTTAAATACTTTAGCCTCATTTATGTATTTAAAAAATGATTAAGTAATATAAGTTCGTTTAAATATTCGTACAAAACTTAAGATTCGAGTTACATAGAACATTTTTCGTAATTTTTAGTGTATTTCGATTCTGATAGTAACAGGTTATTTTCACAAAAAACTAATATTTCCATTCTTTATAAACAAACATGAGTTGAAACCCTGTAGGGATTTTTATTCATATCCTTTACGACCAGACTAAATCCAATTCTGTTGCGTCTCTTCTCTATAATTGAATTGTTTAGACCACACTACCACACATGTCCGTCAAACAAATTTTACACAAGACATACTAGACGCAATATTAGATTTGCAATAGAAGTCTTTTAAACATCAAATAAATGTAGTGAGTGATGAAGACGTGCATTTCAAAAATAATGCAACAGTTTCAAGAAAGCGGGTGATATTGTACTTGTGCTCTTTTAATTCTAAAAAAGAACTGCATTAAAAATGAGGCTGTCAAGATTTTTTTATAAAGGAAGAAAAACTGAAGGTTAGTTAAATAACTTGTGAATATTCAAATGTTTAATTGGCGTTTAAAATACATAAAATTAACTGAAAGATTATATAATTTTAATTAAATAAGTCCATTTTGTTTGTACTTACCATTTCTATGTGTTGTCCCCACTGAAGTAATTCACACGTACACCCTAAAACATCTTTCCGCCGCTGCAATTTACAGTCGTCACATTTCGATATCATTTCAGCCGATTTCCCTTGTTATGGGCCACTTAATTTTGTGTCGCATTCGTAAGGGGAAAGAATTCGCGCTCGTGTAAAAACAGCCGAGCCCGCTATTACCCTCCATATATTTATTTAATGTCTTTTGTTCTAGGTGGAAGATATACGGGACATGATAGATAAGATCCAAGCAAATGTAGAAGAAGTGAAGAAGAAACATAGTTCTATTCTTTCTGCGCCTCAGAGTGATGAAAGTAAGTTGTTACAGTGTTCTTATTTTTCACTTTTGCCGCCTTCCAGTAACGTTGTTTATGACTCGGGGGCTTTCAGAAACATGAAAGACGCGCCACAGTGTTTTATATTTGCTTTTTATTACGAGAGACGAGGCCGTAATATAGGGTATATGCGATTAGCGCGTGCGGCTCTTATATCAAGCCTGGATTAGACGAAGTGTTCTCTAATTCAGTTACATGTTCTGGCTTTTGCAGGATATGACCTTACGTAATACGTTTAATCTTACATTGAGAGGCGTTATCGTATCTTATCTATGATTTTCAGTCATTCGGTATTATCGATTTATCGACGTTTGGAAGGTTCACAAAAGGTGATAATAACTGTGTGATGCTTCGAGGGCTATTGTTTTTTTTTTTTGTTGTTTTTCTTTATCTTTATTGATGGCTCTCGAGTCATGTGCCAGAATTTTTCTTTGGCGAAGTTCTAAATTAAATTCGTTTGCTCGTAAGTTTAACCAATATATGATGGAATACTTGTGATTAATTGGTATTATCGTTTTCAGTGACATTAAGCAGTTTTGTTTAAAAAAAAATAGCGTGTGTTGCAAAAAAAAAAAAGGGAGATTACAATCTGTCGTCGACCCTATTGCTTAGTCACGCGATTATAAATTCGATCAGGAAAGTCTAGCCACCGTATTTTTATGTAGATTATTTCATGGCTCTGCAAAACTGTGTTAAGATATTTGTAGGCGAATTTGTGCAGCTATGACTGTCTGTGTGTTTGCGTGTCGTGGACGGTGTTTTAAAAAACATTATCGTGTATTATAATTTTCCTATTTTAGAATTTGTTGTTTCTGTTATAACGAATTTAGAAACCGTAACCAGTGACTTTTTCACATCAAGAATTTTTATCCACTATGAATTATTAATAGCTAAATAAATTGGAATATTGTATTACACATTCGTAGAAAAAGATCAATATAGATAGAATGTATTAATTTTTTATTCTAATGATTCATGGATTAATATTCATAAATCTAAATGTATTTGTAGTGAAATATCTACCACAGCTAAATTCTATCTATTCTTGAAATTAAATATTCATGAAAGCGATAATATGTTTTGCAAAACGATTGCCGTTCACCCTTAAAATAAACATTCACTGTCTCTTATAAATTATAAAGTAGCAGAAAAGTCAAAGTGATTCAGGTTTCAAGGAGATGATAAAATTTAAAACAATGGTTTAATTAGGGCAGTTATTAAATGGAATAAAAATCGAGAACTAAATTTGATAAAAATTCGCCATCAAATTTGTTTTTATTTATTTGACTTTTAAATTGTAACATTTTCGATATTCTATTTCAACGGTTATTTTTAAAACATTGGTCGAATGTTGTTTCGACAGAAATTTATTCGCCCGGCAAATCCCGTTTCTTTAAAAAATTATAAAATATGTTTTTGCGATTTTCGTTTTTGTGATAACTTCTTTAAAGTAAAGATTAGCGACATAAATAACACCACCGTAATCCCTGTGCCAAGAATTTGTGCTCCCAAATACGGACAATGTAAAATAAAAGCAGACAACTAATGTGAAAAAATGGCCTCTCAGTCTAATATCAAGCTTCAGTTCAAATGTTTATGTTTACACATCGAAAGAATGTCATGTAGAAATTAATAAGTTTGTCTTGTCAAAACAGGACCAAAATTATTAATTTCTATTACTAATTTAAAATATAAAAAATGTTTCTTTTCTGATGACGTGATAACAGGATCTGTAGAATGTATGGAAACGGTTAAATATGTTGAGAACCAGATGTACAAATCAACTGAAATTAGGTATAGGGATACAAGAAGTTGTGGTCTAATTATTTGTCACACAAACACGTCAAATAAATTGGTAACAGCTCTGCAGACAGCACGACTCCACAAGTACGACTGATACATTTTTGTTGTGCAGTTTTTCGAAATCACTAAGTGTTTTTGTTAAGTGCGTGACAAATTGTAAACAACACATCTGAGGTTTCTTGAGAACCTAATTCAAAGCGGATTCGTAAACCACACTTATAGGGGTATATTATTGTATAACGGTTAAATCAAATAAAGCTAGAATTTTTTGAAATGACGTCATCAAATTATTGGTGGGGATGATTAGCAAAATTTTGGTTAGTATTTAAGCATCTACATGATACTTCTAATATATATATATACAAAATTTGACAACAATCGGTCCAGGAATTTCGGAGATTACGTGTCTAATAAAAATGGATAGGCAGACAGATAGACCGAAGTGGGAGACTAGTTTTTTCGTACTGTAGTCATGAAATCTCGAGAAAATAGAAAAGTGGCCATTCGTCTGATGGACTCGATTACTATACTTCCTTAGCTTATGCTCGGGAAGTAACAAAAAGAAACGGCCAAGTTTGGTATCGAACGTGTGACCCCAGGTCCGCGTTCTCCCAAATGACCAATAGCTCCGCGAAGTTTATATCCCGTGTTAGTAGTAAAATGTTATTATATTTCGCAAATGTTTCTGCGGAAATTTGGACGTTTAGGGAAAAAACTCAAAGCGGGTTCCTATACCACAAATATATGGGGATATTGTTAACATTTTATTATAGACTTTTTTGGGATGATTAGCCAAATTTTGGTTAGAATTTAACCATGTACATGATATTCCTAATATACATACAAAATTTGACCATCTCCCGTTTTCGTCTGTGTGCCTGACCGGCGTCGCTGTCGATTTTTGTTAAGACAGATCTAATCTCTGAAACTACCGGATCGATTGTCATGTAGATGGTAAAACGCTAACCTAACTCTCTAATTTTGGGTTTCAATTTGCATAAAATAAGATACTCCTGCACGTGTAGTATATGAATCCGTGTTGAATTTTTCTCAGAGACATCCAGATTTTTGGAAAAAAATCAAAATTGTATCACAACATTTTGCAATTTAAATTTGAATCTGCAAATCGAATGCTTTGGAAACTTGCAGACGTTTTCAAGTTATCGTAATCATGGTAAATTTTTAATCAAAATATACCTGTTTATCATATATCATATTAAATTTTGACGAGTAAATCCTATCGAAATTGTGCAAATTATATAGTCTATAGGTGATTTATTATTGTATTAATCTTTTTTAGAACTTCTTATACCCAAAAAAAATAATAAATGTGTCAATTTATTTTATTGATTAAAACAGGAACTGGAAAGTCGAATACTTTGAAACCTTGCAGACCTTTGAAAGTTATCGCAAACATGGTAAATTATTTATTAATCAAATTACATGTGTTGATCTCTCGCACAATTTGATGACGTCATCTCAAAATTTTGTCGAATAAATCATATCTAAAATGTGAAAAAATATGATGAGTCAATACTTGTGATTATATTATATTAATATTTTTTAGAATTGTTTATAGAGGTGTCTCAAAAAAAATAGTGAGGTAATAATTATTTTATTGTTTAAATCAAGAACGGATCACTCCATTCTCTCAAAAATTTGGGAATACAGTGATGTCATTATTAGCATTAGACTGCACAACCAAATTGATACGTATCCTGGCAAAAATGTTATCACAAAATTTTATAAAGGATAAACGCATTTCAAAGATACGCATAGCATGCTTCTTTACATTAACTTTAACATTACATACATAACTTTATGTTAACCTGTAAGGGTTGTCATAAAAAATAAAATAAAATTCGCCAAATTAAATTTTATAATTTTTCGAAAAGGTTGAATATGTTTTATTGTGCTTCAGGGGTGAGCAAATTTGGTGGAAATAACCTTTATTTGTGTGGAAAAAAATTATTCGATTTTTTCCAAGAGAGAGTTAATTTAAAATATAAATACATACCAAATTTTTTTTAAACATTTTGTTTTGTTTCTTAAATTCACAGATTGTTTATCTAAGATGAGATGACTGAAATTTTTTGGTTGACTCATTTAGTGCTACAAAAATGTTTTAGATAAAATACTTCCAATCCTTGCAGTAATTTTAATTGTTCAGTTTTATCAGTATGTGTAAATTTAAAAAATTACCACTTAAAATTGAGTGAATATAGAGTTAGCCACTTTTGCGTTTATCGGACTAAATAAAGAAGGGGGACAAATTTAACCGGAAGCAGTTTGTAAACGATATAATTCGTATAAAATAAATATAATCTGAGGCGGTTTTGATAAGATTTGCTACAAGATTAGCGTATCCAAGTGTGTTATTTTGTAACGAAAACGCAAATTATTGTGCAACTGTATCAGATTTTCGTTTACTAAAAATATTTTTGTTTTCTAATATAGAATTAACCTGCTTATCTCAATTTATGGCCATATTAATTCTAAACAGATAAAGTTCTCTATATAAATTCACGTGGCGTGCACGGTTTGCGAGATAATGAAGATTAACTACGGACCACTGCACTTCCTGTAGCGAAAATGGCCGAGTTTGTCCCAACAAAAGTGAAACTGGGGGTTTTGGAAAAATATTAATCTGTCTATAACTGCGATTAAAGTATGTACTTTTTGTTAAAGAAGAAAGAGAAATCTTTTGGATATTTAAAATGGTGTTTTCGATCTTGTTTTTAATTAACGTCAAAATTTCGAGATTTCAAAACTAAAAAATCTACGGTTGGACATATTTCTCAAATATTATTTATGTCTATAGTTTATGTTTAATTCGTTTATTTAGCCACTTAAAAATTATAGATTGTGAAATCTAGTTTGTTGAACAGTTTTGTAGTATAGAGTAAAATTTTCACATGGAACTTTCTTTCATGTTTTACGAGACACGTAGCTCTGCGACAAATACCGTAATACCTATATCCAAGACGTCCAGATTAAATAAAAATCTCCGTGTCTCCTACATTCGTGCCGTTTTCACGCACGACATCTCGAAACTTCGGCCAACTTTTCCCCTCCGGAACTTTATCTCACGGATGGTCAGTTCGGTTTTTCGCAAAGACGACACCGAGCGGGAACGTCAGGATTCGTAGGATAAATAGAAACTTAAATAAAGGTTA